GCATTGAAAGCAATGTTTTCTTATGAGGACTCTCAGCGCTTGTCGCGTATTATCTCCTGTTGGATGATATCAAAGGAGTCTGAGCAATGACCCAGCGCAGTAACCATTGCACTCGACCGTAGTGTTTTTTTTATGGTGCTTCTGTGATGCAGCGCTGTAATTGTTAAGTATTTCATAAAAATATAATCTTTATGAAACACTCATACTGACTGCGATGGAATGTCTTTGAAATTCTGACCCAATAAAAAGATATCAGTTTGACAAAAGGCAGAGTTTCAAAGGAGCTTCCACCGACGTCTGCCATATCCCACCACCTCTCTCTGTGGAAAATGTCCTCTTGCTGCAGGAAGTTCTACATAAGATATTAGTGGATCTAACATGGACCGTTGTTTTCTACTCAGTTATAAGGCCTAATTGTGGATGAAGATGGCAGGGTGTGTGTCCCTCACACCAAGCTGAGCTGTATGGCTGTCCTGCTATGTTTTCCAGGAGCCACACGGCACAATACAGTATGTTGGGAGAACTTAGGGATAATATTGCTTTGCTGTAAGTGTACTTGGTATTAAGAATGAAAGAATGTTTCGGGTTTGTGTTCTGTTGAGCTCTGCTTTGTGGATGTAGAAAGTTACTGCGCTGTGAAATATGTTGGCGCTTTATACATAATAACAGCTGTATAATCTGGAACTCTTCTCAACTGAATATACCTTGTATTGACTTGTCACAGCTTGAAATTCTTGATGTTAATGCTCTGATCAGTGTCTGTTCAGACAGCTGACCTTCAGTAGCTCGGCATTGCCAATTGGAAGGATATTAGTGGGGTATTAGTTTCACGGAATAGTGTATAATTACATTATAAATGAGCTGGAGTGCTTCGGGCTGGACTAATAGGATTTACCAACAAATTCATCCATTGAGCGGCATAGTGCTGAAGGGTCATGGAAGAAGCTATTTAGCTAAGAGAGAAGGATTAGCCTGGCTGTATTTTAATTTTAGTAACTTAACTTGATTTGTGATATTCATGACCGCTCCCCCACTCCCATTATGGAGATGCCACCATTAACCCCTCCCTGACCAACTCACAGCCTGACTTTCCCTGTGCGAAAATAAGATAAGCGATAAAATAAAATATTTAAAGCCTTTTCTCCTCCTGCGAGTATCTCTATAAAGGATTATCAAACATTTATAAAAATATTTATGTATTCCTAAACTGGGATGATAAGTCATTTTAGTTTTACTCTAAGTTACTCTATAATAGTTTCACCTGGGAATTAGAATGCTTGTAATGCTTTTTTTTTTTAAATCTTTATCTTATCTTTTATCTATGCTTTTTTTTTTATAACAAAAATCTTGGTAATGAAGGGGTTAACATGGCTTGGGGATATGATGCTTTCATGTGATTTAGATTTTGTTTAACCTTTTAAATGTCTGTTCAAATATGTGTCAACAACTCAATGGCATTTCATGAGTTAAAACCTTAATGCATCTTAAAATCAAAGGTCGGGGTGAGAGAGTTTATTGAGTTTTTTAATCCTTGTTTGCCAGAGGATTAAACAGGTTCCCTTTGTATGTGAGGTCTTTAATGTGCCCCCAGGATTTTACGCTGCTGCCCACGCCTGCTGCTGCAGCACTCAGTAAAAATCTGTTACCTCCAGCGTCTGTGCTACTGAACGCCCCTGGATAAATCGTTCCTTAATAACTCTCAGATCAACTTATGTTTCTCATACCTTTTATGTGTTATTTATTTTTACTAAACCAGGAATTACTAATTTAAGACAAAACAGCAAGACTGGAAACATTTTCATTTTTCTAATTTTTAAATAAAATTAAGCCCTGCGCTCAAACTCCCACTACTCCTGGGCTTCAGAAATGCACCCATCAATCCTAATACAAAGAATAAAAATGAAACCATAAAAAGTGACTTGCGCATTATCCCAAATCCCTATGCACATTAAAACAACTGCCAGAGCCGGCACCACCATTAGGCGAAGTAGGAATTTGCCTAGGACGCCGGCGTGCCGGGGGTGCCCACCAGGATGTATCCTGGTGGGCTCCCTCTGTCTTGGGTCGCCGCTCCGCCCATCCCACCAGCGGCAGGCTGATCCTCCAGGGACCCGACACCTCAGGGCACCCCAATGCGGTGCTTTTTAGGAATGGCAGAGCAAGCACCTGCTTACCTTGATGGCAGGTGCCTACTCTGCTGAGAAATGCCGGGTACAGGAAAAAGGCGGCTTCATTGTGGGTGGTGATGGGGGGCTGTTATTGCAGCTTCTCACTCTTCCCTTGTGCGCCCTCTGTGATGCCGGGAGCTGGAAAATGACGGCCCTGATATACTAAACAGTGCCCTGGAGGAGTGAGAAGCTGCCCCACATTGCACCCCAGGAAGGTAGGGAGGCTGAATTTGCAAATAAAAAATTATATTTGTCTGTATGTTAGTAAGTGTGTGTTTGACTGTCAGTGAGTGTGTCTGTCTGTGTGTCTGTCTGTCAGTGAGTGTGTGTGTACGTGTCTGTCAATGAGTGAGTGAGTGTATGCCTGTGTGTATCAGTGAGTGAGTGTTTGTATCTGTCAGTGAATGTGTGTCTGTGAGTCTTTGTGTCTGTCAGTGACTGAGTATGTGTCTGACAGTGAGTGTGTGTGTTTGTCTGTTAGTGAATGTGTCTGTCAGTGTGTGTGCTCATCTGTCAGTGTGTGAGCTCATCTGTGCTAGACTTATAAATGAAATTCACCAAATGCATTGATCACAGCAAAACATTATGTATTCAATGTACAATGTATACAATGTATGTGTGTGTGTATGTATGTAGGTATTGGGCTTCATGTGTGTATGGATTCATGCCTTAGGCAGTTTGTGTGTATGGATGCATGTCTTAGGCAGTGTGTTTTTATGGATGTAGGTATTAGGCAGTATCTGTGTTTATGGATGTATCTGTGTATGGATGCATGTATAAAGCAGTATGTGTGTATGGATGCATGTATAATGCAGTATGTGTGTATGGATGCATGTATAATGCAGTATGTATGTATGGATGTAGGTATTAAGCAGTATGTGTGTATGGATGTAGGTATTGGGCAGTGTGTGTGTATGGGTGTAGGTATTAGGCAGTATGTGTGTTTATGGATGTAGGTATTAGGCAGTATGTGTGTATGGATGTAGGTATTAAGCAGTATGTGTGTATGGATGTAGGTTTTAAGCAGTATGTGTGTATGGATGTAGGTATTAGGCAATGTGTATGGATGTAGGTATTAAGTTGTATGTGTGTATGGATGTAGGTATTAAGCAGTATGTGTGTATGGATGTCGGTATTAGGCAGTGTGCATGGATGCTGTATTGGACAGTGTGTGTGTATGGATGTAGTTATTAAGCAGTATGTGTGTATGGATGTAGGTATTAGGCAGTGTGAAGGGATGTAGTGATTAAGGAGTATGTGTGTATGGATGCTGTATTAGGCAGTGTGTGTGTATGGATGTAGGTATTGGGCAGTACGTGTGTATGGATGTAGGTATTAGGCAGTATGTGTATATGGATGCACGTATTGGGCAGTGTGTGTATGGATGCATGTATAAGGCAGTATATGTGTATGGATGTAGGTATTGGGCAGTATGTGTTATTAAGCAGTATGTGTGTATGGATACTGTATTGGACAGTGTGTGTGTATGGATGTAGGTATTAGGCAGTGTGAAGGGATGTAGTTATTAAGGAGTATGTGTGTATGGATACATGTATTAGGCAGTGTGTGTGTATGGATGTAGGTATTAAGCAGTATTTTTGTGTGGATGTAGGTATTAAGCAGTATGTGTGTATGGATGTAGGTATTAAGCAGTATTTTTGTGTGGATGTAGGTATTAAGCAGTATGTGTGTATGGATGTAGGTATTAAGCAGTATTTTTGTGTGGATGTAGGTATTAAGCAGTATGTGTGTATGGATGTAGGTATTAGGCAGTGTGTATGGATGTAGGTATTAAGCAGTATGTGTGTATGGATGTAGGTATTAGGCAGTGTGTATGGATGTAGGTACTAAGCAGTATGTGTGTATGGATGTAGGTATTATGCAGTCTGGGTGTAGGTATTAAGCAGTATGTGTGTATGGATGCTGTATTGGACAGTGTGTGTGTATGGATGTAGGTATTAGGCAGTGTGAAGGGATGTAGTTATTAAGGAGTATGTGTGCATGGATACATGTATTAGGCAGTGTGTGTGTGTATGGATGTAGGTATTAGGCAGTATGTGTGTGTGGATGTAGGTATTAAGCAGTATGTGTGTGTGGATGTAGGTATTAAGCAGTATGTGTGTATGGATGTAGGTATTAAGCAGTGTGTGTGTATGGATGTTGGTATTAGGCAGTGTGTATGGATGTAGGTATTAGGCAGTATGTGTGGATGTAGGTATTAAGCAGTATGTGTGAAGGGATGTAGTTATTAAGCAGTATGTGTGTATGGCTGCTGTATTGGGCAGTGTGTGTGTGTGTGTATGGATGCTGTATTGGGCAGTGTGTGTGTATGGATGTAGGTATTAAGCAGTGTGTATGGATGTAGGTATTATGCAGTATGTGTGTATGGATGTTGGTATTGGGCAGTGTGTGTATGGATGCATGTATTGGGCATTATCAATCGTGTAAGAAATACAAATCTGTATTCCTTAACCTATAGTTGTCTCTGCCCCCCTCCTCCCATACCACCCCCGAACATTGATAGGGTTAAAAAAAACTTTCTGAACTCAACTGATTCAAATGCAGATCTCCCTTGGTGCTGGGTTGGTGATCTGTCCTGAGACATCACCCAATGGGGGGCATTAAAGTGCATGTGTGCCATTAGCCCCCCACCCCCACCCCCATAGGAAAGCAGGAAAGAATGAAAGCATAACATTCCTATGGAGATTTTACTTGCACTTAATGTCCCCATGCAAAACGAGAGGACGTCCAGCATAAGGAAGTGCCTCAGGTGACTGTCTGAGTGGAACTGCAAATAAAGCTGTGAGCCATCATACCACAGCTCCTGTCCACTTACTGCCAGGTCTTTTCATAGTTGTACACTATAAGCACTTCAGATGTTTCATAGAGCCTGCCAGGATCAGTGAGGTGCTCAAACCATACAAGTGTATGTACTGCAGAGGACCACTGGTATCTAGGAAGGGAGAGAAGGGATTATAACTTTGCCGACGATCGTGGCAGCTGACCTCCTTGTACGGTAACCTAGGAGACGAACATTAGCTGTTACACCTCAAAATTGACTCAATAAGTTCAGGAGTTCTGGCACTTGTTAATTTCACTTATAAGAAGCAGGTAAACCAATAATCTCTGAATTTGAAAGCCTAATATAGTGGAAATTTGAGTTGAGGGCAGTTTTCAAATGTCATACTTGGGGGTAATTGCAACTCTGACACCAAACAGTTTAGTCAAATTTGTAGATTTTAAAGAATTTTGCAATTCATTAGCACATTCAGACCTCAATGAAATCCTCCTAGTGGTGACTTGATGCTCAACAACCACTTCAATTCCTTTTGTAATTGCCTCAATCTATGCCCTTCAGTGCAAAACTAAATCCCATGTTTGCATCAGGAATCTTTGACATCATGCAATGAATGCTTTATAAAAAGTATCTCCTTTCAGACACTTTTATTCTGCCATGACAAACAGACCAAAAGATGTAACGAGTATCAGTTGCCGAGTAATGTACATTGATGCCCTGAATTAACTTGGCTCAGCAATAATTCTGTCCCAACAACTAAATCCTAGGAGCTATTTTTAATTGTATTAGATTTTCACACTGTAGTGCTCCAATTCCAGTAAATGGCAGCCAAATGGCAGAAGCCGTCAGTGCGGAGAGGACGACCTTGAACGCTCATTGTAAATACCGTCCACCTTGAATGCTGCTCAGAAAATAAAACAAAAGTCTATTCTCAAAATAATACTTGCTTTGTTTCTGTTTTGGCTACAGATTTAGCCTTGACCAAGAGCCACTCATCTCTCCTCATTTACTTTCTACTAGCGTCTACCCTGATCTAATTAGAAACCATTCACTATTTCATTTTCTTTACCTTTGATATTTTCCAATGGCCCGTAATCCAGCTTCACACAATGCTGAACACACACTAAACCTGATGACATGTTTTGATGCCAAAACCAAGATTTACTCAATCCTGGTGTCACTGCTCAATTAGGGGTTTGAGAATCCAAAAGGTGGCACCCCAGGACCTGGCATAGACAGGGCCAGAGAGATAGACAGAACCAAAGAGAGACAGGGAGATAGACAGAGACATAGAGATAAACAAAGACAACGAGAAACAGGGAGATAGACAGAGACAGAGAGGTAGACACAAGAGAGACATGGATATAGATGCAGTGAGATAGACAGTCAAAGAGAGGCAGGGTGATAGATACAGTGAGATAGACAGGGACAAGGGGAGACAGGGAGATAGACAAAACCAGAGAGGTAGAAAGAACCAAAGAGAAACAAGGAGACAGATACAGAGAGATAGACAGAGACAAAGAGAGACAGTATGATAGAGAAAGAGATAGACAGAGACAACAAGAGACAGTGAGATAGATACAGACAGAGAGATAGAACCAAAGAGAGGCAGGGGGATAGACAGAGCCAGGGAGATAGTCAGAGACAACGAGAAACAGGGAGACAGACAGAGAGATAGACAGAACCAAAGAGAGTCATTGAGATAAACAGTGCCAGAGAGATAGACAGAACAAAGAGAGACAGGGAGATAGACAGATAGATAGACAGAACCAAAGAGAGACAGGAAGAAAGACAGAGAGATAGAACCAAAGAGAGACAGGGAGATAGACACAGAGATAGACAGAACCAAAGAGAGACAGGAAGAAAGACAAAGAGATAGACAGAACCAAAGAGAGACAGGAAGAAAGACAGAGAGATAGACATAATCAAAGAGAGACAGGACGATAGACAGAGACAAAGAGAAACAGGGAGATACATAGATACAGAGAGACAGACAGCAAAGAGTTAAACACAGAAAGATAGAGACAGAGTACCGTAGAGGGAGAGGCAGACAGATAGAGCCAAATAGAAACAACTTATCAATGAGCCACGGGAGAGGGACAGAGGGCAGACCACAGAAAAGGGAGAGCAGTGCCAGTGTGGGTAAATGTGTGTCTGTGTATCCGGATGTGTCAGTGTCTGTCTGTATATGTGTGTGTGTGTGACAGTGCATATGTATATGTGCTTACGTCTCAGTATTCAAATTTCAACACTACACACAGGTACACCCATTCATTCAAACGTCAACACTACATACACACCCCTACATTCAAAATCCCAGCTTTTAAAGCATTGTGAAAGTTGTACAACAGATGGGAACATACCTTCTTTGTCCATCCTCTTAGGGGGGCCCAAAATAATTCTTGCACCATGGCATTCTCTATTTAGGTTGTGCCACTGGTAAGGCTAACAGTGATCAGAAAGGGTAGTAGATACCTGGAAAAGCCTTCCAATGGGAGCAGTAACAGTGATATAGAAAGGGTAGTAGATACCTGGAATAGCCTTCCAGTGGGAGCAGTAACAGTGATATAGAAAGGGTAGTAGATACCTGGAATAGCCTTCCAGTAGGAGCAGTAAAGGCTAACAGTGATATGGAAAGGGTAGTGAATACTGGATTAGTCCTCTAAAGGGAGCAGTAATGGCTAATGTAGTAAATATAAATGTTTAGAGCGTATAAGGCCATGCTGGATAACTAATCTGCAATATCTGTGTGAGGTTTTATTATATTTATCTAGGAGAATAACAAATAAATTGCCTTAAATTCACCCAGACTATCTGATTGTGAGTTTCTATTTAGAACTTGCAGTTTTCCCCTGTGAACTATATTGACAGTCTGATGGATACTAACAGATCTGTGTGTTTCCGTGTAATAAGGATCTGTACTCTGCAGCACCATGATAAAATAATTGGATTTCTATCGCACTGTGAAGCAAAACAGATTGAGAGGATAACTCTCCGATCAGCATGCAAATAACATAAGGATGAAACAGCATAATTAAACCCACTGAACTGCGGCCACATGCATGCGCTATCGTTCAATGATTTGGCAAATAAATGGTTAAAGCACCAGAAATGTTAGTTGTTTTTTTTTACACCTAAATCATGGAAAATAGTCACAAATAAAGTTTTCTGTGACCTGCAGAACTGATTAGCTTTCTTCTCCCCACTCCACCTTCCGAGACTGCCAGAACCAATCAGCTTCCACCAAAGGGGAGGAGCAACTAAATTGGGGGCATATTATGTAAATCCTGTAACAGGCAGTAAAGATGGCTGCTTCCGTTGTTGTGTAGATCATTTTAATTATTTTAGCTTTAGAGAAATTTCAGTCATTTTATTTTATTCTTGTTGCAAAAACTGTGAGCATATTTTTAACCTGTAAAAAAAATTATCTTTACTCCAACCATTTTTGGCATAATGGCGTTTTTCTGTTTAAAATGCCCTATTATTCATTAGGCCTCAATACATTTTTCCATAAATCTTTTACTTACCTGAAATTCAATGTCGGGCAAAGTTCCCAGCATGGCCTTCGATATCTCCTCCCAATGTCAGTCAGGCCCCTGTGCGGTCCAATCACAGGCTTATCAGAGAGGTCAGGTAGCTGAGGAGTGGGGAGGGAGAGGGAAGGGAGAGAGGCTGGACATAGATTTTAAAAAAGAATTAAGCATTATTAAGGGAATATTAAGGCGAGAAGGGAGTGAGGCTCAATATGTTCTTGATGAGGGAGGCTCAATAAGTTCTGGTGTGCAGTGCGAGCTGACAACAGATGTATTTTATGCAGAGATTAACATTTGACAAAGTTCCTGAGATATTTCCAACAATGACCTCGACTGAATATTTTTTGATAAACGTTTCAAATGATTTAATATTTTTGAATAAACCTTTAAAAACCTTTAATATTTTTTTTTTTTATATCTTATATATTTTTTTGCTATTTTAATATTTTGAAAAATAAATATTTTATACAGTTTATATTAAATCATTTGGAAAGCGTATCCAAATCTATTAAGTTGAGGCTAATTAGAGATGTGTGAGCTTTGCTTGCGTTCGCTCCCAGATAAAAAGTTACCCACCGCCCCCCCCCCACCCTTCACCAGGCAAAGCTGTGGGACTTTATCTTTATTGATATGTTGTTGTTAAATCCAACATAAAATGTCCAAAGTCAAATATTATATGTACAATATATATACATGGGCGTTGGATAACATATTTACATAATTAAAAAAAGAAAAAACATTTTATATATCAAATAACATAAAAATTACAGAAATTTCCATAAATTCTTCTTGATAAATCAACACTTCATTGTATGTCTACATTTCTATTCAATAAAATGTTTTACTTTACTCCCAATTAGGAAATTATTATCTTATCTTATTCAATTTAAAAAAAAAAAAAATAGCTCTTGTTAGTAGAGTCAGACACCCAAAAGAAGCAGAATGAAATAAAATGACACACTTGGATCTGGCTTATAATATGTTAGCGTTGCTGCTCTCACAAGGGTTTTTTGTAATACCTCAAAGCCAGTTCCTGTAGCAATATATCATAAAGCTGTTAGACCTTCTGACAGTTCCTGTGTATTTCATTTGTGTTCCAGCTGGGTGCATTTCAATGCAGACTCTACGCAGCGCAGCCCAACGTACTTGTAAGGAACAGGTACAATGGGACTGTTTACCTTCAATTCGCCAAATGGATAGAGCACTCGATAGCTATAAATCTACCCAGACAGACAGGGTATAGGAATATGCGTTTACTGCCTAAATAATTATAGCCTAGAGGCTGTCTGAGCATCATGGGAAATGAAGTTTTCAAAAAAATGACAATGACTTCCTTAGCCACCGCTGCTCATTTAACGAGGAATGCTAATGAAAAATGTCTTATATAAAGGATGTTGGGGTTTCACTAAATACTGAATTATAACTTGAAAATAGAATTGCTAAATTTAAGTCAAAATAATTGATTTCAAATTTTTTTTTCAAATTCATCTTTAATTACAATGTAGCTAATTTAGCCTGAAATTAACAATTTGGTTAATTTCTCTACTTTTAACTGTTTAATTAAAAACCTTGTTGTTTATGTTGTTTTTATCATCGTTTTAATGATGGTCTAAAACAGGTGGACATTGCCTAATTTACAAATTTTTTCTCATCGGTAACCAGTCAATGTCTTCTTGTAACTTTTGCTTAAAATGCTGATATTGTGAGGTTAAATAACCCTTCTTCCCATGTTCAGTGTGTTAAGAGTAGTGTCAGAACAGCAGAATTGTGATTGTGTCGACATTGTTAACGGCTCACAGGCAGCTGTCATGTGTCGATAAATATCGGTAATCTTCAACGTATTGTCTATTCTGCTTTCCAAATGCTCACGCACCTACACTACGAATTATGGACTAGAGTTGGGGATTCATTTCGGTCTAAACTGCAATTCATCCGAATTTTGGCAGATCAGGTGATTGGCCGAACTCGCAAACTCTGTAAATATAATCAAATTCCAAACCAATCAAAACACGTAATAGCTGAGAATGTGTGTGTTATTGGTGATTCAGCATTCCACCCACAGCACTGAAAATTAGATGATGGGAAAAAAGATGATTGCTAGCTAGGGGACATTCAAAGATCAAGTGAGTAATGACAAACAGAGGGAAGATGTAGGAGCAGTTTATATATGTATACCAGAATATTGCAGTATCCAATGATATCGTTTTATTGGACTAACATAATAACTTACAAGACAAGCTTCCGAGAGCTTTCCTCTCTTCCGCAGGTCTGAAGCAACACTAGTCTGTATGATAGATAATAGCCAAACCGACATATGGCCAAAATTCGTCCATCCTAAAAAAATATATTTAAAAAAAAAATGATTTGGCCAAACTAAATATTCTTCCCATTCACAAGTCTAATGTGTACATTACCAGGCACATGACAAATAAACGTGTAGAGAACACGTGATAGAACTGACGTTATATGTCGACTACTGGCATCACTGCGGCACGCGAGGGATCTGAGCGGAAAGCTCACAAATCAGTGCTCCCTCGCCAGCGCCGCCCGGCCGCCTGGATTCTTAGTTAGCCGTCACCAGGCTAACAAGGTATTTGCCTGGGCATTTTGGGGTTGCGTTTTTTGCAGCCCCTGGAAAGTGCTGCCCAAGGCAAATGCCTCGTTTGCCTCGTGGCAAATACGTCCCTGTATATACATACATACTTACACAGATATACATGCACATTAACACACAGATACATATAAATACACCGACACATATACACATATTCATATAGACACCGACACATACACACACATACACACACCTTAACACATGCATACACTGACACATACACACACCTTAACACATGCATACACTGGCATATACACACACACATGCACCCTGACACACACAAACATTGATACATGCACACACCATGACCCAGATACACACACTGACATAAAAACACACACCCTGACACACAGATGTGTGCGCACACACAGACACACACACTGACACAGACACATACTGACATATATACACAACCTAACACACACACAGATGCGCAACCTGACACACACAGATGCACGCCCTGACACTTATACATACACCCTGACACTCATACACATACACACACTCATACATACACACTCACTCATACCTACACACTCACTCATACCTACACAAATAAACTCACTCATATGTACACATACACACACACTCATACATACGCATACACACTCACTCATACATATACACACACTCACTCATACATATACACACTTACTCATACATATACACACTCATACACCCTTTTATTAGCTTACCTTGTGTGTCCAGGAGGGTGGCTTGGAGTCCTGGTCCTGCTGCTGCTGGTGGGAGTGAATGGTCTAGAGCTCTTTGTGCCCCTCTCCCCTCACTCTCCCTGCTTCCCTGCATGATGCTGTCACTTCCTCCCAGCCGGCCGACATTACAGGGGCCTGATAAAACATTAAAGGGTGATAAAACATCAATCCAATTGTCCCCCAAAACAAGGACAGAAGGTGCCTGTAGCAAGTGTGTTAAAAATGATAAGCTTAGAGTCATGTCTACAAATGCTCGCAGTTTAGGGAATAAGATCCATGAACTTGTGGCAATAATGGCAACTGATAGTGTAGATTTAGTCGCTGTTACTGAGACATGGTACAATGAGAAAAATGACTGGGACATAGCAATACCAGGGTACTCTTTATATAGGAAAGATAGGGAAGGCAAGAAAGGGTGAGGGGTGGCCTTGTATGTGAAGGATAGCATAAAATCTAGCCTAATAAAAGTTAGTGAGGCAAACATAGAGTCCGTTTGGGCTACGTTAGAATTTGGTAATCACACAGTAACTCGTGTAGGTGTGATTTATAGGCCCCCAGGACAAAGTGAAGAGTTAGATAATCTACTAGTTGAGGAAATAGCTAAAATGACAATGAAGGGGGAAGTTATCATCATGGGTGACTTTAATCTTCCTGATGTAAATTGGAAAACAAAATTAGCTACTTGTGCCAGGAGCACACATATTCTAAACTCCCTACTGGGATTGTCTCTAAAACAAGTTGTTGAGGAGCCAACTCGTAAAGAGGCCATACTAGATTTAGTGTTATCAAATGGAGATTTGGTATCAGATGTTACTGTAGGTGAAAGTTTAGGATCCAGTGATCATCAGTCAGTGTGGTTTAATATAAAAACAGTGACTGAGTCACACCACACAAAAACAAAAGTTTTAGACTTTAGAAAAACAGACTTTTCTAAAATTAGAATATGGGTAGAGGAGTCATTATCAGACTGGAGCAATTTAAATGGAGTCCAAGAAAAATGGGATTATTTAAAAGTTGCACTATTGAAGGCAACAGAAAATTGCATTAGGCTTGTCAGTAAAAGCAAAAAATTCAAGAAACCACTGTGGTACTCCGCAGATGTGGCCAAAATAGTTAAAAACAAAAAGTTAGCATTTAGGAATTATAAAAAAACCCAGAGTGAGGGAGACAAAATGATCTATAAGATTAGGCAGAAAGAGGCTAAGCAAGTTATAAGAGCTTCCAAATCACACACAGAAGAGAAAATAGCACAGTCAGTAAAAAAGGGGGATAAAACATTTTTTAGATACATAAATGAGAAAAGAAAAGTAAAACAAGGATTAGTTAGATTAAAAACAAAAGAAGGAAGGTATGTAGAAGAGGATAAAGGTCTAGCTGACTGCCTCAATGAATATTTTTGTTCTGTATTTACAGATGAAAATGAAGGAAAGGGACCTCAGTTGAGAAAAGGATAAATGAGTCACTTATTACACGTGAGTTTACAGAGGAAGAGGTTCTATTTCAACTGTCAAAAGTAAAGACAAATAAGTCAATGGGACCTGATGGAATACACCCAAAGCTATTAAAAGAGCTTAGTGGTGTACTAGCAAAACCATTAACAGATTTATTTAACCAATCATTGTTAACAGGAGTAGTCCCAGAAGATTGGAAGTTAGCGAATGTTGTGCCCATTTACAAGAAAGGTAATAGGGAGGAGTCGGGCAACTATAGGCCAGTAAGCCTTACTTCAGTAGTGGGGAAAGTGATGGAAACCATGTTAAAGGATAGGATTGATGAACATCTAAAAACACATGGATTTCAAGATCAGAGACAACATGGGTTTACTTCAGGGAGATCATGCCAAACTAATCTTATTGATTTTTTTGATTGGGTAACTAAAATAATAGATCAGGGTGGTGCAGTAGACATTGCTTACCTAGATTTCAGTAAGGCTTTTGACACTGTTGCACATAGAAGGCTTATCAATAAACTGCAATCTTTAAGTTTGGATTCCAATATTGTTGAATGGGTAAGGCAGTGGCTGAGTGACAGGCAACAGAGGGTTGTAGTTAATGGAATATATTCGAAGCTTGGACTTGTCACCAGTGGGGTACCTCAGGGATCTGTACTTGGACCCATTCTCTTTAATATTTTTATTAGTGATATTGCAGAAGGTCTTGATGGTAAGGTATGTCTTTTTGCTGATGATACTAAGATATGTAACAGGGTTGATGTTCCAGGAGGGATAAGCCAAATGACAAATGATTTAGGTAAACTAGAAAAATGGTCAGAATTGTGGCAACTGACATTTAATGTGGATAAGTGCAAGATAATGCATCTTGGACGTAAAAACCCAAGGGCAGAGTACAGAATATTTGATAGAGTTCTAACCTTAACATATGAGGAAAGGGATTTAGGGGTGATTATTTCTGATGACTTAAAGGTAGGCAGACAATGTAATAGAGCAGCAGGAAATGCTAGCAGAATGCTTGGTTGTATAGGGAGAGGTATTAGCAGTAGAAAGAGGGAAGTGCTCATGCCATTGTACAGAACACTGGTGAGACCTCACTTGGAGTATTGTACACAGTACTGGAGACCGTATCTTCAGAAGGATATTGATACCTTAGAGAGGGTTCAGAGAAGGGCTACTAAACTGGTTCATGGATTGCGGGATAAAACTTACCAGGAAAGGTTAAAGGATCTTAACATGTATAGCTTGGAGGAAAGACGAGACAGGGGGGATATGATAGAAACATTTAAATATATAAAGGGAATCAACACAGTAAAGGAGGAGACTATATTTAAAAGAAGAAAAACTACCACAACAAGAGGACATAGTCTTAAATTAGAGGGACAAAGGTTTAAAAATAATATCAGGAAGTATTACTTTACTGAGAGGGTAGTGG